ACACACACAGACACACACACAGAGATCATTCGGGCCATAACAAAATTACAGTTACACAACAATAATGAGGATGGTGGTGACAGTGGTTATGGGTTACCAAACACAAAGCAATAAAAACACTGTACAGTAAATATTTTTTCAGCTGTAGATAAGCAATGTGCAGATAAAAGACAATAAATGTGATATTTAAGAGCAGAAATGATGGACTTTTAACAAGGTACTACCATTTTGTCCGCATGACAACCAGATCAATGTGATCATTGATAGATTCTTCATAGATTGTGAAATTGATTCTGAATGTCTTCCATGACTGTTCAGACTGATGTGAAAGATAAAGACACATAAAACAGGACTGCAGACAGATTACAGATGACCATATGTTCATCTAAACCTACCTTGTGCAGCTCGCTTTATCAGCCAGGTGATGTACTGTAGGTAAGCAGAATCCCCGATCCAAGGAGATCTCACTGCTCCAACTTTGCGTCAGCTCACTGCCAAGTGTTTCTTACTCTACGTAAGTGCAGTGTGCTGTTTTCTCCCTTTGAATTTGCTCAATTCAATTGCTTTCCAGTCACCCTCATGCACTCTGCCTACCTCTCTCTCTGTCTGCCTCTCTCTCTCTCTCTCTCTCTCTCTCTCTGTCTCTCTTTTTAATCCAAGAGAGATGCAGGAGCCATGGAGTGTTTATGGTTATAATCCACTAATGGACTCTAAGCTTATATCTCTCAGTATTGACCCTCTAACCTTTTACAGGTTTTTCAGACTTGCACTGCTCCGCTCTCTCTCTCTGTCCAGCTTTAACACTCTTTTACTGAAATCTGTTAATAGCTCGGAAAACTCTAAAATAACCATGAAGATTTTGTTTTTTTCGTCACGCTTCTTTCGCTGTTGCATAACATCGCAGGAGCAACTGATGGCTAAGCTGGACCTGAAAAGCATTGCTGAGAAATGTAACCGCACAGCCACTTAAGATAACATTTGTATTTTTTAGTTGAGAGTTTAGAATCTGAAACATGTGAAAGTTATAAATCAATCAATCCCAGAGGAATAATGCACTGATTATACGTGATGTAATTACATTCTGTGCACCTTATTACAATGCTGTTTGTGTCTACTCCCAGAAGATGGCACTGTTTCCCCAGTTGAGTCAGCCTGCTCTGACGTTATTTATCTCATAATATGTGCACAGCTGTGCATTATAAATGGATTCTATTGAAGGTAAACATTATATCCAAGCCATAAGCTACAGATGGTGCTAATCTACACCAAAATACCTCTGACAGAAATCAGTCTGCACTGAGAGGTGACGACAAACACACTGTTCAAGTTCTGGTTTTACTCGAGTAAATAGCCCCTTTTGTTTGTAGCTTCACTACTTTCAACTCTAACACTCATTGTACTAATGAGCTTAAGAAGAAGTTCACACACTCGTAGCTATGTGTCTTGAGCGCCTTGTCACATGAAATCTGTGAGAAGATGATATGTGAGTGAATGACAGGCTTTCCTGGCAGGATGCTCACTCTTGTGCCCGGTGGGTAAAGGAAACAGGTCCGGGATGCTGAAGTGGACGGCTGATGGCCGCAGGCCTACAACAACAGGATGTGCACTACGTCACTGATAGTGGGAGAAAAGTCAGGAGGCCTTACAGACCGTTCTGTAAACCCATATTCCTTCAAGATGAATTAGATGCAGGATATCAACAAGTCAGAGCTACAAGAGACGGATGACCCACAGTGAACTTCCAACCCAGTGGAAAAAAACAACGGTCGTTGACGCAATCAAGGATTTTACACTTTAATCATAGTGACAAAAACTAGTATCACCAGTAACTGTCACAACACCTGCTACACAATACACTGCACGTTGTCACAAATGACCTCTACACAACTAACCTCTACATGCAGAGTCTTCAAAGGGTCAATCCACTATAGTAAGAATTAAAAAAAAAAAAAGATGGATCTTGTTGTTGTTAGGGATGTTTGTATGATGTTTATTTTTTCCCCACAAAGTCTCCAGTACAGTCCGGTTATTTTATGTATCTGTCATGAATTTAATTTAATCATTTATAATCTGTTGTGTTGCATGGAGATATAAATTTTTCTATTTTTTTAATGTGCAGATTTATTGTGTTTTTTTTTCTTATTTCTATTTATTTTTAAACAATGTAGTGACAGGGAGTGATTATAGTGATTTCATATGTATTAGTTACGTTCTCAAACTCCCACTCTACTGAGAAACACAGTTAATTTAATATTATTTTACTTGGATGTTTGACGATCACAGTGTACAATTATATCAGGGTTGCCACACGTCCTGGAAAACCTGGAAAATGATTGAGCAATTTTCCAGTCATGGAAAACACATGGAAAATGAGAAAAAAAGGTCATATGTCCTGGAAACGGTTAGGTTATCCTGGATGCTAGAGCCGCTGCTTTAGCTCACCTGGTTGAGCTGGCGACCCAAGTACGGGAGCTTTAGTCTCCGATGCAGTGGCCATGGGTTCGAATCCTGCTCATGGCCCTTTGCTGCAACCTGTTCCCCCATTCTCCTCCTCCACTGTCCTGTCTCTCTTTCGACTGTCCTGTGTATAATAAAGGCAAAAAGGCCAAAAAAAAAGTTATCCTGGAAAATGATTTGTCCTCCCAACTCTAATTTGTCACGCTAATTATTACCCTGTAATCTGTGGGTGTGTTTGCAATATCCTACAATACAAATCATGTCATAATTATTTTTCATAGATAAATTACAGCCATAGACAAACATCAAGTGTCTGAGTAACAAACATCGAAACAATCTGGGTAAATGCAAAGAATGAGGGGGGCAGGGGAATGTATTAGTGTGTGACATGATAACTTGTGTCTGTAGTGGCTGAATATGTCCTGGAAAAGTCCTGGAAAATAATTTCAGGGAAAGAGTGGGAATCCTGTATGTACATGCAGAGTTTGATGCTCGAGGCTGTTTTCAGATTCATCTATTGAACAGGGAAAGTTTCTCTGTGCTCACCTTTAATTTGAGTTTTAAACTAATTTACAGCTTTGCGACAACATAACAGTTTGAAAGTTGACATGAAACACGGGAACTTTTCAGTGTCTGTGTCCATAGAACACTTGTAAAATGTATAAACAGTATATAAACCAGGAATAAAGGCCTTTGTTTACAAAAGTTGTACGCAGCTATGTGGGCAATTTGAAGTGTATTTGTTGTATAGCATTGACTCTTCTGTTAAGTCATATTTTATATGTGTAAACCAAAGTTTATTATATGATTATATATTATCTGTTTATACCCTCACCTCCAGTTATAAGTGGCCACAGGAGGAGTCATAGTGATTTTAAAAAAAATTAAATTCTATGGTATTTTAATACATTTACAAGAGAAATAATGGCACTATATTGGCAGGAAAGTTCAAAAAAAGATGAAAAAAATAAACAAACAATAATAACAATAATAATAACTTAACAAACGCAACTTAATGGTTTCAAAATAAAAGGCAAATGGAGTTATCAGTTCTGCCATATAATAAGATTCAAGGTAAAAATGTCTAACAGGTAACAAATCTTGGTTTTGTTTTGTTATTATTGACTAATAATAAAAGTATATTGGTGTGGATTTAAACATGTCTGAAAAAGATGTTTAACCAAATAACAAGTGTGGTAATTACACAGCGTCACCATATTACGTCTAAAAATCTGCAGGGAACAGAAATAGATCATGCTACTCTCTGATATGGATGAAAAACAATTTTTAAAAATTATTTCATGTACCTTCATCAGTACCGTTCAATTAAAAAAAAATGAAATATTCATATTACATCAACAAACACATATAATAATAATATTGTAAATAATCCAGCACCAGTAACTGCCTGTTTACACTCCAACACAGGAACAACACACACAACAGTTGTGGCTACAGACTCTCTCCACTTTGGTTGTAGACTGCTTTCAAAATGTTTCACACTCATGTCTTACGGACAGAAAGTGATCAGGTTGCTCCAATCTTGGCAGCTGCAGGTGTGCAGGAACTGGTTCACCGAGGTGGTTTGACTACTCTGCTCTCATCACGTTTCTTCTGATAAACACATGGCGTAGCTAATGCTTAATCATATGAGAAATCACAATCACTTGACTGGAGTGACTCAGTGCACCACTCTGACAATGCAACCTGCTCAAGTGGTAGTCACAGGAAAACTATACAATGGACTAAAAGGGGGAAGTTGGGAACGACTGAGAAAGCGCACGGCAGAGAAAAGGGGAGTGTGGAGGCTAGAAAACATGAAATGTGACACTGACTCCCCATGGATTCACTGTATTATTAAAAGATTAAGAAAAGGGGGATACCTTCCTAGAGCGCTGTTATTATGTTGCTGAAACTGAAACTGGAAAGTTAATAACGTCATTTCTTGTGTCTGTGAGCATTGGTAAGCAGGCTAACAGAGCTACGATCAATCCTGGAAGCTGTAATTTTAGCAAAACACATCTAAAACTAGATTTATCATCTGGAGGAAAAGCTACAAGATCAAGGAGTTGTTTTTGAAAAACTGTGCATGGGGATGTGAGTGAAGGACATTTCAGGAATAAACATGGTGACGACACAAGTGACTCAAGGGAAAAAGGCACAGGAAAAATGGGGCGATAAAGAAAAGCCTGGAGGAGAATTGGGGTTATTTTGGGCTCAGCGGGCTTCCTGCAGGTGATGGAAATGAAAGAATGATTTCTGGAACAATTGCTCAGCAGCAAGTGAAGTGAGGCAGTGGAGGGATGGAGGAGGATGTGAATGAGGAAGGGAGGGGGGGCTGGTGCAGCAAAGTGAGCATAAGGATCAATGTAAACAACGCAGAAGGTACAAGGTCACTTTAAGTTTAAGTTTTGTTTGGCTACTGTTGTTTAAGGATGGTTTATGTTTGCATCACAGCTCTTGTAAATAGAGCATAAAACTGCCACCATGACTGATAAATTACAAGTGTGGGAGCAGGTCAGGCAGCATCAGGACAACATTACAGACACACCCCCTCACCCTGCCATCACACTATAAAGGACCTGAGGCAGAGAGGGATGACAGACTTGAGCATCCAACAATCAGCAAGAGACCACGAATGGTTAACTCAACAAGCCACTGCAGGTTTTTACACTTCCTAGGCGGTAAGTGCCATCAAACAATTATGATTTTTTATTTTTTTTTTTATAAATACACTTTTTACCTTAATTGTTTTTTGTTTTTTTTTAATCATCATCATCAGACTTTGTGCCTCTGTATTGTTGATAAGTCAGGTCAGAAGAGTATGTTCTCTGTCACATCCCTCATTTTTCTTTCTTTAACCACAGGCCATTGCGGTATGGAGATAGCTGTTCTGTTGCTTCTGACTGTGCCTTTGACTGCTGCCTCCCCTCTGAGACCAACTCAAAGGTCAGTGAAAAACTTCAGCAAATACACAGCTCATGTCGGGAAAAAAAACACTGAAAGTAGTCGTGTGATATATCACCCACTGTGTGCTACTTGGAGAAGGAAATTCAAAACATTTCTGCCTCAAGCGTGATATAACTTTTTATATGTATGTAAAGGAGGAGGAGGAAAGCTGTGGAAATGTAATGTCAGTTTATCTCTGTTACATTTTTTAAGTCCTCTGCATACTAATCAATACTATTTTTTTGTTGGACCCACAGGTCAGACGCAGACATCGTCCTCCAAGGAACAACTGTCCAGGCTGCCGGGGTGGAAAGGTCAAAAGACTCAGACGAGCACCACGCTCCATTACCGAAGATCATCCCATTTCGTTCAGAAGACAAACATCTTGACCTTGATGCTCTAAAACACAGGTAAAGAGAAATTCAAGACACACTGTGAGCGGCAGTAAAGGGTCTGTTGTAGGTTATTAATGCAGAGTATTGGAAGTGAAAGTCTACTTCCAGTGTTTATTTCATTTCTGCTGATCACACCTGCCAGCAAAATGTAAATTGTATGTTTGTGGCTTATTTGAAAACTGGAAATTATCGCTTTGAGTGCCAAGTTTGACTTTTACCCCCCCTTTTTACCCTCCTCTTCATCGCTGACAGGATGGCGGCAAAGTTACGTCCACGACGTGCACCTCAGCGTGGATGCCAGTTCGGGACGTGCCAGGTTCACAACCTAGCCAACACTTTATACCACATCAGCAAAGCAAGTACAAAAGAGGAGTCAAAGAACGCCAAACATCCGGATGGATTTGGCAGATAGGGCCAAAAAGGGACTGATGGCACTGAAGGACTAAGATGACGGAGAGCTCTCTCCCAAAATCTCCATCTATTTACAACCAAATATCTCTATATATGTTCTGATTGACTGGTACTTATAGATTTATGCTCATTAAGCACATAGAATGTGGATGTTTGAATGTTGTGTAAAATCCTAATCTATCTTACTTTTTAAAATCTAAAGTCTTTAATATTTAAATGCATTCTACAATAAATATTTAATATAAACAATCGTGTGGAATTATAGTTTGTGCATGCTTGGATTAACCTGCTTAAGAGGAAACATTGAAAAAAATGAATGGGTTGATGTCTGCTTAGATCATCAGTCTTTTAAAAGGTGGCGTGTCTGAGATCACATAGCTGTGTCGTAACCCTGCACAGTGTTTCTCTTTTTTTTTGGGGGGGGGGGTGACTTACACCAGAATGAGCAAACGTTCCAGTCACTGAAAATGTTCCTGCATGCAAAAGTCTGGCTCATATTGCCCTTGATGGAGTGAGGCTGAAGGAGGCATTTACACCTCTGGCTCTGCTGGAAATCAGGGCCTGACTGTGTGATATTTTTAGTCTTCCATTAGAGCAGCAAATTACTCAGAGCACAAGCTTGTGTGTGTTCAGTTGTCTGTCTGCTACAGAGGTGTGAAAATGTATCAGGGCTTTCTTTCTTTTTTTTTCACCACATCTAATCCAGCTCCAGCAGAGAAAGAGATCTGACTGGTGAAATTAACTCACATTGCACAGGGATCACAATCAGCTCACACCCTGTGTTTGAAACGTCTGTGGTTTGAAGTTGCTCCTCCTATTTTTTTTTGTTGAGGTTTTACAAATTGTCTGCCTGTTGTGAAACCACACCCTCACCTGTGTGGCGTGTCTACACCGCACCTAGTTTCCCCTCTTGACTGCTGAGACACGCTTGGGAATGGCATTTCAATGGCAGCCAATTTAGTGGAAAATGGTCAGAAAGAAATGCTCCAGTGTTTCCCCACAAACCTCTCTCTGACAACCGGCAGATAGAGGAAAAAAAACAAAAACATGAGAGACACAGGAGGAGAAGGAGACGGAGGTGGAGGAGACAAAATCAGTAAATCTGAGAAGGACCAGGTGGGTAGGATTTCCATAAAAACCCTTCGGCTGCAGTTGTGATGACATGGTGGTGTTTGGGCGAAAGAATAATACGAGAGAAGTGTGAAAAGTGGAAGTTGTACAAGCTACAGTTGGCAGTTGTTCCCTGCGAGGCACGACGTCGGGGTTTTTATCCATTTATCTGCTTCGGGCAACACTTATTAGGCTGATGTTCGTGTATTTACTTGTGAAAATACTCACATTTCAGCGTCTGCTCTTGGAAAATAAAGCCGCCGTGGAGTTGCAGATAAGTTTAGCTCAGGCCAGCTAGTTTCCGCCTCACATTTGTTTACATCGTATATAAACTCGTCCAACCTGCTAGCTTAACTTCACGGCGGCTAATTAGCCACTAACTGAAACGCGCTCCGGCGACTCGTTTTTAATAAAACAGCCACTTAAATGTTTTATCTGCCAAAAAAAAGTCGAGAGCACACCCATTATGAGGAGCTAACTCGTGTGTAGCTCAGCGTTTCACCATGAACAGCTAATTAAACGCTTCTTAAAGTTGTAGTATTAACTCTAACAATGGCTGCGTCCCATTTCGTGTCGCGGCACTACTGGCAGAGCCCCAGGGCTGGTTTGCCCGCAGCTGGCACAAATAAAGGGAACGGGGCCGCCGTGTTAGCAGGGGCGGCTCTAGAAAGTTCTTACAGGGGTGGCCCACTGGCGGTGTTTGGGTGGGACACAAAAAATTAAAAACTACAAGCTAAGAAAGGGCATCCTAATATGTTGGGATTTCTTATTTTGCAGTTATTGTTGCTAATTTTATGACATGCATAGACTAATATAGGTATAGTTAATATTTTACTTATTAGGGTTATTACCATTCAAAATTGCCTACAAGAAGGGATTCTGCGCTGTATTTAAGGGGGGAAATTTCAGTGTTGAGGTCCATGTGTGGGGATAATTTATATAACAAGAGCCAATTATAGTTCACTAAAACGTTTTTTCGTTGTTATGGGGTTACACATTCCCATATTTTGGTACAGTGCTGCCCGTTTATGATCATACCCTCGGTCCAGGATGGAGTTATGACTATATCTGGGATATTCCAATAAGCAGGCTTCAAGATGGCGGCGAGTTTGGGTGTGAAAGCTAGCCTATGTACTGGACTAGCACGATCTATATGGCCTATATCGGATGTATTTAGCACGTATTTGGCAAATAAAGCATTTAAGGAAAGAAAACAAGACTTGTTTTAAACTTTTATTAAATATTAAATGAGAAAAAAGTGTATGAAACATGAAAAAAGGTCAAACATTAAAACTGCCTACTTTCTACTTCAGTCAATAAACATATTTACAAGGAAGTAAAGGTATTTTTCCTCTAACGAACGAGATTGCACCCTTCATCAGTCTTTATAGCTTGAATCACACCTAACTAGGAATTTCATTATGACAAAAACTGGGATTTTGACATTATTCTATGACAATAAACGGGCTGTTTTACTATATTATGTTATGTAGGAAATGATTCAGGACTTAGATATTTTATGATTATAAACGGGACATTCTATAAAGCAGTATGACATTAAGTGGGCAGCACTGTAATAATAAAACTAACACTTTGTTGTGTTGTGCATTAATACATGCACCTTTCTGGAACAGGAAGCAGCTGGAAGCTACCAACTAAATCTCAGCTGCTGTCACTGTTTTGAAGTCTGTGTGTTGCCTCCATCAGCTAAAGACACCCAAACTGTGTCCTTTGCGCTCTCTGTGTAGTTTATGAACATGATGCACAACTGGCTGTTAAACGCAGAGGTGTTACAGTCATTGATTGGTGCTTTTGCTTGCACTCAGATACTTAGTTACTAAAACTACAATATCTTAGTTTCAGTGGATGTAAACGACCTATTTAGGGAGTGAGCATGCCCCCCTCCCACCACTTCAGTAATTTCCCAGGCCTGGGATAAATAAAGTATTTTTCTATTCTATTCTACTTCTTGGAGGCACCTCTAGTCAAATGTCCTTCTAGAACCATGTACACACATTAGCACTTGGCAAATCACATGACAGTGGATTACAAATTCATTCTTCCGATGATAAGAAACTCTTTAAGTTATTATTTTAATTTCAGTCCAGTCTAGTTTGAAGTCGGGTTGCTCTTTTGTTTGACATGTAGGTTTGTAGTTGCACTGCAGAATGTGTACACGTACTGAAGATACGTGTCGACATGCACACACACGCACCTCAGACAGTCTGACACACACCAGCTTAAAAACATGAGCTGAAACTACAGCACCGCGTCAGAAGTCACAGCCAGGTGTTTTAGGCACTGCATGCCTCACGAGTTTATCACCAGGTCATTCTACGAGCCAAAGTCAACAGCTCTCATCTGAGAGTTTTCTACACCCTGCAGCCACATGCTTACAAGAACTGGTTTTAAGGTCCTTTAAATTGAAACGACATGTGTGTAAATTCAGTTTATTAAACTGTTGAAATGTTTTCAGAGTTGGATCCCCAAAATCATCAAGAAAAGAGTGTGCACCACCTTTGTCGAGGACTCGTTCAGGTACTGTGAATGCTGCTTTGTGATAGTGAAGTCTCTCTTTTCACTTTAATGATGTTTGAAAAGCTGATCAGACTCTCACACTGATGTATTATCCTCCCACTTCTCTCAGTAATGGCGCACTGTGTCAGTGTGGGGGTGCCAGAGATGCCCATGCCTCTGTGGCTCTCGGTGACTATTTCAGCACGGCGATTGTGAACCACTGGGACAGCGCCCAGCATTCGTCTGAATACCCAACTGATGCCTTCGGAGAGCTGCAGTTCGCAGGAGCCAGCAAGAGGCACAGCTATGTGGGTGCCTGATAAATGTTCTCTGAATGACTCATTAAATGCTTTATTTGTGTAGCATTAGAGATTATGATCAAATCTGTAGTGCTTTCAGACCAAGTGCCTTCAAAAGGATTCAGTTCCCTCAAGAGCTGCTTTAGTTGGTACTTTTGATTTTCCTAACCTTTAACTTACTGCTGCACCTGAGTAAACAAAGGCAATGCACTGAGAGTTAGATACTCGGATTTTATATATCAAATCTGAGCCATTTCTACTAGAATCCAGAGGCCAAGAAACTGATTGAACATGTTAGTTTTCATGCTAAAATGATCAAAATGCTTAATTTTAAGCATTTGTTTAGTTTTAATCTGTGTTTTGTTCCTTTCAATCAACCAAATGTCCCTTTCATCCGTCAGTACCTGCGTCTGTCATGGGACACCCCTCCATCTATGGTCTACACCTTGATGACAGCCCACTGGGGTCTCCCTTCACCCAACCTGGTGGTTTCTGTTGTGGGTGGAGAAGGCAGGACTAAGGTGAAGACCTGGGTGCGAGAGGTCCTCAGGCAGGGACTAGTGAAGGCCTCGCAAAGCACAGGTAAACAAATCACTAAAGCAAACTGACCCCAAGTAGCAACTGACACAACAAACATTGCTGCAAGGGGGTGGCTCAGAGGTTTCATGTGCACTTTTGAAAGTGTTGTTGTTAGCTCAGCTTGTGATTTCGGTTCCCTTTTACTGTTGAGTTGGTAAGTCTTACCATCAAATCTCAGCATATGTCATCATAACTTCCCCTTTGACGAATGACGTAAATGGACAATGTTGCCTTTAGTGTGGAAACTAACGTTTTAGTCTTTCTGAAATAGTGTTAGTTCTTATCGAGTGACCCACATATCAAAAATACTGACTTCCATTCTTCTCTGACTGACAACTGACAAATACTACTATTACAATAACTAGTATTTCAGCCTACTATGGCATTTGTTTGTGTTGTTATATAACTTTACAATATTGCATAACTCCAATGAAGTGATTGTAGTATTTCTTTCTACCTCTTGTATGTTTTATGATGAAAATTTTAATTGTAGGTGAAGAAAACAGACACATGTTTTTACAAATTGAATACTGTTTACACTTCAGACTGCTGAGTAACAGCTGATTTTCATGACTAACACATGAAGTCAAATCCTCATGAAATTTGTAAAGATTTCCACAGAACTGACAAATCAGTGGGCAGCAGTGAATCAGGGCCTTCTTGGAAGACATAGAACAAACTCACGACAGCTTTAGCAGGAAAAATCCAGCTGTTTCAAAGTGTAGTCCCCTTACACTGTATGACTCCCCGGGGTTTGATCCTAATTCGGTACTACAATGGCCATTTCCTCCTGAACACTTTGCCAAGTGCAGGTGGCACACGGCGATACGGAGCTGCTGTCATTTGAGGTCGCTTAGCTGTTCTCAAAACAAACCCCATAAGACATATTCAAAAACATACAGGTGCACACATGGAGACAGGTTGGACTAAACATGTTTACTGCGAAGGAGGGTGGAGTGGTGAGAGAGTACATGTTGCTTTTGCACTGCAGAACTGCTTGAAGCTGTTGTAGTTATGTGCATTTCAATGGTATCTGTAGGTTTCATACTCCCATCAAATTGCAGTCTGCTCAGCTTCCCCACTTGGGGATCAATAATGTGTTTCCCTTCCTTCCGTTTTCTTCTATTTCAGTGTTGTTACTGTCTAATCTGATCAGCGTGGTTCTCTGTAATTCTACTTTGTTTCATGTAATGCAATTCCAGTCCATTTTATACCAACAACTACATTTGCAAATATAGAAACTTATGCAGAATTTTCATTTGTGGATATGGCTCACAGCAGAATTGGCAATAAATCCTTTGCAGAAAATAATAAAAGGCAAAAACGATGAAGTGTTATGTCTGAAATATGTACATGTACAAAGTTAGAAATGCGAGTATGGATGTATGAAATTAGATTAACTTCTCTCAAGTGGTGTGATTTGATTTGTTGATAAATGGGATCTACTCAATAGCACAGAGGTTGTCATGGCATGAAGTTGTTCTGATGTAGTCAAGTTCCAGCTATTAACAGCAAAGAAAAACACTTCTGTCTTTCTCCCTCCTAAAAGATTCACCCACTGTTTTAATATTTTCCACCCAGGCGCGTGGATCCTGACAGCAGGCTTGCGTGAAGGCGTCGGTAGGTGTGTTGGCGAGGCAGTGAGAGATCATGCCACTGCGGCTTCGTCAGTCTCCCTCAACAAGGTGGTGGCGCTGGGCATCGCGTCATGGGGCCTCGTGCACAACCGGGACCAGCTGGTCAACCCTCAGGTTGTACAGACGCCCGCGTGTTTACAGATTTCTTCATCTGCTAAAAAAAAATAGCTTTTTTCAGAACAGTAACATTTGCTTTAGATTAGATTATCTGGTCTTTTAGGTTGTGTTTTTATATTTGCTGCAGATTTTTCAAATGAGTTTAAAGGTTTAGGAGTTGTTTCTTAGCTCCCTGTTGTGATTTGCATTCGTAAAATATGTATGTGGGGACTTCATCATGAAGGGCTCAAATTAAATATGTCCTCCGTCTGGATAGTTTAAGGTCCAGACTGCACTTGGATCGCATCATTCGAAGGATCCACCAAATACGGACCTCTGTTACTCTGCGCATATTGATAATATGTGACTAAACTCTGAAATAATGTACCCTGGATTCCTGCTTTTGCAGGGCAGCTTTCCTGCTAAGTACTACGTCCAGAACCCGTCCCGAGACTCCTGCTGCCTGGACAACAACTACCAGGCCTTCCTGCTGGTGGACGATGGGAGTGTGGGCCGCAGAGGAGGAGAGACGGGCTTCAGAGCCAAACTGGAGGACTACATCTCCCACCAGCGCACAGGCATATGGGGTGAGAGTTGGCATAATGAAATATATTGTACACTATTAAATTCAGACTCAGATGACAAGAATTTTTGTTTTGAAAAAGAAAAATATAGGATGCTTGTGCATGCTGTGTTGTTTTTTTTTCATTGGAACTGCTGGTTGGATATGAGATAACCAGTATTTTTGAATGAAGACTGATAACACACTATCAGCACATTGTCTTTCATTAAAGCATTCGACTAAGGTCCACTCAGAACTGATTGTTGCTGAATGAAACAGATTATATTTTTGCTATTATCTCTGCTCCCCCCATACCATTACTCCTAGTGTTTATTTTTTATGTGTAACCTGACTGTAAACAAACAGAGACACTTCTGATAAGTGGAGTTCTCTTCCAACTATGAACACATTCTTTCACATCCAGCCTGGATTTCAATCTGTTCGGCCCTCTTGTGGTGATTCTCTATTAATGCACGTGATGATAAGATGATCCTTTGGTATCTGCTGGATTGCAGCCATTGCGTGCCAGTACATGAACGTGAGACGCAGCGCTTCAACATGTGAAGTCGAGCAGAGTTTTATCAAAAAATTCACAGTGTGCTCTTTCTGTGCCTCTCAGCTGTTGTGTAAATATGATCGTAAGCACTGTTGTCTCAATAAACTGGTATAGATTAGGAAATGTTTGTGTCTTTACAGGCAGTGGCAGCATTGACATCCCTGTCCTTTGTATGCTGGTATCAGGGGAGGCCAGCATGTTAGAGGTACAGTCACATTAGATTAGGTTAAAATCCAAAAACCTGCTTTTATATTCAGATTATGTAAATGCCTCTCTTTTTTTCCCTCTATCAGAGAGTGGATCTTTCTCTGAAAAGCTCCATGCCCTGGCTGGTGCTGGCTGGCTCAGGAGGCATGGCTGACTTCCTGAGCGATGTCCTGGAGAACCTGTCTTCAGCTCCTGTTGTCCAGTCTTCCGATGAAGGCGACAGCGGGGCGGGTCCCAGTGTGGATGTGAAAGACAGAGTGGCAGAACGGGTTAAGAAATACTTTCCTGCGGAAGCGGAGACAGACAAACTCGTTGAACGGGTGAGAGCTGTGGACAGTTGTCTCTGTGCAAGTTTAGAACATGGGAGAGGAAGGCCTGTGAGCTTTTTTTGCCCTGTTTATTCTGCAGCTACTGACTAGATTGACATGAAGGTTAACATTGATACTCACGATCCCAGGGAGCTTCTGGTTCACCCTGCGACCTTTACGTCAATGCCTTAAGGTTGTGTTTACTCACGTGATATTTCCTGATAAAATAGATTTTCTGAGCATATTTCTGCTCTCTTAGCAAGTCTTTTTATGTGACTGACCCTGTAGTCTTTCTTTGAGCACAACCATCAGCATTTATCACTGTTGTATTTAACGTAAAGAAAATTAATTAAGCCTCCAGTGGGCCTGTGGACATTTTGGCTGTTTCTCAAACTCCTTCATGTCTCAGTTTGTCCCAGATTCTGCTGCCCCGGGCTGTTATTTATTCAGTTTTTACTGCTCCACAATTAACTCACTCACAAGCTGTGGCATGGGTTATTTTTGCAACACTGAAAGAGGATCGACTGTTTAGAATATAGCCGATAACTGTCGGTGCTTTGGTTGGGCTTGGCATTAATTTTGCAGATCTGCTCAGGACATGTGCTGTCAAAGTCTGTGTGATATATTTGATTTTAGAAAATATCCAGATTGCAGTGCAAGAAAAGGCAGTATTTACCCAGTGTTTTGACTGAGCTTTCTGTTTTGCGAAGTGCTTTGTAGATCCCAAGGTTAAAAGTTGCTATATAAATGTGTACCATTTACATGTCTGCTTCTCTACACAAATCTTCCTATTAGTGGCAGCTTGTATTCACAAGGTTGATTTTCTATAGATGAGCACTGACAAGTAGAGACGGACAAGAATATCTCACCTTATTACAAATAAATCAGACCTATCTTTGAATAAATCTTTGTTTCCAGGATGTGGTGTCTCTCTCTGTTGTAAAAGAGCCAGTTTTGAAGCCAACCTAACTATTGTTTTCACACTTCAGAGCTTCGTGGCAGATTATTAACTCATCAGTGTTCTTAATGGTTATTGCAGCGCTAATGTAATCAGTGCTTAAAATCCTATTATGCTGATTTCTGTTGAGCCAGGGATTGTTTGGAGTCGCGCTCTTATCTTAATCCTGCTCGCTCAGCATGGAGAAGCTGTGCAGTTAATGATATGGGTTTGACAGCGTTATTTGTCACTAAACTCTTCTTGTTCTTCTTCTAAGATGCATGTTTTTAAATCTCCTTCTCAGTATCTCCAAGTGTTGTGTTTGTTGTGTGTCTCCAGGCCCTGAGCATCTACCAGAACAGAGACTTGATTACAGTCTATCATGGGGAGCAAGAGGGACCAAATGACTTCGACACAGTCCTGCTCAAGACATTAGTGGGAGGTACATGGAGCAAATCTGTATAGTCAATTTTGCAAATCTTTCAGGGGCCAACCCAGCTGCATTTTCTTCATTTTCATGTTTGTTTCTGTATTTCAGCGAGTAAGCAGCGTGCATCAGTTGACGCCAGCCCTTACAATGAAGAGCTGAAGCTCGCGGTCACGTGGAACAGGGTTGACATTGCCAAGAGTGAACTCTTCAATGGAGACATTCACTGGAGGGTGAGGGGGGAGAAACGCACCACATCAGCTGTTACACTGAGAGAAATACCCCCACTCTAAAGCAGATGCATTCTGCCAGTTTTGACAATTAAAATGGTTTAAACCTGATGTTATGAAGGCATTATAAAAGAAAATAAGTGTTGTCCTGTGTAAAAAATAATCATCTTTATTCAATCAAACAGTATGAAGACTTGGAGGACTCCATGACGGATGCTTTGGTCAATGATAAGCCCCAGTTTGTGCGGCTTTTCACTGAGAATGGCTTGAACATCCTGGACTACCTGACTGTCGGGAGGTTGGAAAGCCTCTATCGCTCTGTGGCCGATGGGACGCTGCTTTACCAGCTGCTTCAGCGCCGCCTGGTGGAACGTCTGGGAACTGCAGCCTCTGCACCTGCTTCATCCAGCGTGGAATCGCCTTCCAAAGTGGCAGCAGAGAACATGCAGAGTGGACCAGTGAAGGATATCACCCTTTTTGAGGTGGATTTTTCTTTAAAAAAAAAAAAAAGAGAGAGAGAGAATCCCTTCTGTAAACTAGTTTTGCTCAAGTAGAATTCTAAGTAATGTGAAGAAAACTCACCCTCCTGTTGCTCTACTTACTGTTTCGTCAGGTGTCAGGAGTTCTTGAACTGTTAATGGGAGATGTCTGCCAGCCATTTTACTATGATGCTTTGGGCTTAGAGAAGATCTCATCCAAAAGGAGAGCTCTCCGGGTACTGTGAACCTGTCTGAATAAACAAATATGCCATACGTCAAAGCTTTTCGAAAACCCGATAACCTTTTCCATTAATTTTGTTCATTGATCCCAGCGTGCCAGTAAGCTGCTGCGTGGCGACTGCTTGTATCGGGAGCGGCGCTGCCTCTTCCCCTGGGCTTCACTCTTCATCTGGGCCGTCCTGCAGAACCGCAGTGAGATGGCCACTTTCTTCTGGGAAATGGTAAAAGCTCTGATACAGAATGAAACAATATGTTCTGTTGCTGTTCAGCTGGTTTACAATACGTTCACAAAAGTCCAACATGCTTTCAGTGCGGTCAGACTCAGAACTAGTGGAGCCAGGGGTTGTGAGACGATTAATTGGAGGAGGAAACCAAACTTCAACCAAACAGTTTATATTCTTTTTTTTTAATCTAATGTTTAAAATGTTGGATAATTACACAATTTGAATGAAACCATTTGAAATGTCAGTCTGCTAACATCTCAAACATCTCTGATCATGACCAGATGCTGCTTTTTT